TTTTTTTTTTTTTTATTATTACATTTTGTATTTCTTTGGCTGTTATTAGGTTATTGAGATGTTATATGTCCTTGTTTTAGTTTTGGTAATTTGTACCTCAGCAATGTATGTGCTCTAATATTTATATCAGCACAATTTTGTTATAGCTAAATCTTAGGAAAAACCTAAATGCTCATCAACTAAGGACTGCATATAAAAAGAAGTGGTATTTTATACAATGGAGTACTACTCAGCCACAAAGAAGGTTAAACTGGAGATTTTTTTATGTATTTAGGACAGGGTCTACAGGATCTGACTACATACATCATAGTGATTCTCCTGTTTTCATCCTCCCAAGCTCTGGGATTACAGGCTCGTGCCACCACACCCAGTCTCAATTGCTGTCTCAGGGCGCTCCAGGGGCACGGCTGAGAAAACACACCACCGGGGATTGAACCCCAGCCGGTGTGCCCTGCCAACGCAAGTGCTTTAGTCCACTGAGCTATCTGACTGGCCCAAAACTAGAGACTTTTATATAGGCAAATGAATGCAACTTGAGACCATACTCATAATTGAAATGAATCAGATGCACATGTGCAAATATTGTATTGTCTCCCTAGTATGAGAAGCTGGAAGAGTTAATAAGATCCAAAATGTGCAATAATTATTATAAAATGGGAAGAAACTGTCCAAAAGGAAAGAGTAACTAGGATGGGGAAATGCAGAAAAGGGAAAAAAAGAAAAAAAAAAAAAATATATATATATATAATAAATGATATAGATACATTACTAAAGATAGTTATACTGCTAATTTATCTTAGTTTGCTGAAAAGAAAGGTTTTTGCTAATATAGTTTGGACAATTAAATGCCACTATCTTGTATTCTGTGTATCTAACTTAAAGATAATGGCGGGGGGGGAGGGGGCTTGCTGGGGAGATAGGTTGTTAGTTTAAGTGCCTGCCTGGCAAGCACAAGGATCAGATTTTGATCCTCAGTACTGCATGCCATGCCAGCCCAGAACCCTAGAACCCCAGGCACACTGTAACGGCCATGATACCTGGTGTGGTGGTGAATACCTGTAATCCCAGCACTGGGGAAGCTAACACAGGAGGCTCACTATAAGTCTGAGCTGCATAGCAAGACCCTGTACCAAATTTTTAAAATTTAAAAATAAAAATAAAGATAATGGGCTGGGGAGATAACTTGGCAGAAAAAAAAATTCACTCGTAATATAGTACATAATCCAACAACAAAGTTCCAGGGACTATAAGGATAAATTCAGTGGACCACATGGAGAGAGTCAAGGGAATCTGAGAGCAGAACAAGGAACATCAGATCCAGATGAGAGAAGAGCATCCACACAGACGGTAACTGAGAGGACTGAAGCTAATACAGGATGAAGACATCACCCTTCTGCCCAGAGCATGTCCTGTCTGGCATCCATTTGAAGTTGTTATTATACATTAGTAAAAAGTGGAGCAAATGTAATACAGAGAGGTTATATTACAATGCTATTTATGATATCAATAGCTACCTGTTAGGTAAACATACTATAGGTTACATGTCACATTTATCTTTATAGCAATCCCCTCATGCCATTATACACCATTTCAAATCCAGTTTATGAACTGTGGTAAACTTACAGAAATCTTACATCATTCAAAACAGAAACTCCCATAAGTAATACAAAGATCTAAAATACTGTTTCTCTCTGTTCTGTTGTTATATTTGTCAATGCTTAGAAAAATTACATTTCCTTACCTATAAAAAAGAAAGTCTTATCAATGTTAACAAACTAAATTTCTCCTTTTTAAAAAGTATGAACTGAGAATGCAGCCTGTCCTCTACACTCTCCATAGTCTAGTACCTCCTCGAAAAAATTAAGTTTGTGAACAAAAATAAAATACTGCTTCAAAGCCCAATGAATTCTTGATATATTTTTGTTTTGTTTTATCAACAGAGGTCTCAATATGTAGTGAACTTCTAGTGATCCTCCTGCTTCAACCTCTCAAGTGCTAGGATTATAGGCATGTACCACCACACCCAGCTTTGTGATACAATATTTTAATGAGTGACTTATTAAAGTCAAGTCATTTTTAAATGTGAAGCACACTGACTATTCAGAAGATAAAGAACCCACTACTAAGAAGTCACTGCATTTTATCTTCATGGGCAAGAGGCTGGGAAGGATAGGAATCTCTTCCTTTAAAATTAATACTACTCAGCCTCTAACTCTCTATGCTAGCAACATCTCCCACCATCTTGTTTAGTTTCAAACAAAATGTAAACATATAGTATCATGTATTCTTTTGCTCTCATGTATTCTTTTGCTCTACAGATTCTGCCATG